GGAGCCTCCTCCCGCAGCGGGGACGAGCCGCAGTGACCGTCGCAGCCAGCAGAGGGCGCGAGCGACCACGTCTGCGCGCGGCCCCTGCCCTTGCTGCGGCCTTACACGCGGTGTGGACGGTCTGGTCCTTTTCCACTCTCGCTGCTTCGGTCCCAGGGGGCCTGGTCCGAGGCCGGCTCGCGGAGGTCCCTGCCGCCCCCGGGAGCACGGCGAGGCCTCGCCGAGGGGAGGCCGCTCCCAGCGGCGGGCGTCCCCCACTCTATTTACAGCAGCCCCCTCGCTGGTGGGCGGGGGAGCCGCGGGCTGAGTGTGGGGACGGACGGACGGACGGACGAGAGGCCGACGTGGTCCCCTCTGGGCCAGGCCCGCTGCGAGTGTCGTTTCTCCTTCGGTCCCCGGCTTTGTCTCCTGGGGAGAGGATGAGCGTTCGTTCACTCGGCCTCCCGTCCGTTCCCTGTGGGAGCCCTTCCGTCGGAGGACAATGTAGTGGACGGTGGAGGCAACACGGGAGGACGAAGGACGGGCTCCCGACCGCCCCGGTTTAGGCTGCGGACGGTGCAGCATTTTCTCGGATGACGGGTCGGTCCGAGGGCCTCGCGTCCACCCCGGGAGCGGCCGTGGCCCGGCCGTGGCCGGGCTGGGCAGGTCTCAGGAAGCGGGCTGAGTGGAGGTTTCCGTGAGACTGATTCGTCTGCCTGGAAGTGTCCACGCGCTTTTGCCTTTAACTGACTCTGACAAAGTCTCCCCTTGGTGTCCCCGCAGGTAAACGCAGCCCGCCCCAAACCTCGGCGGCCTCGCCTGCAGCTCGCTGTGCTTCGCTTGTCCCGAATTGCGATTCCTCTTGAGCTTGCCTCAGTTTACCTCTTTATTTAGGTCAACGAACCCGGCAAACATCACAAAACATCACCTCTCCCCGCTCAGTATCACTAGGTGGTCGTGTGACTTGACCCAGCCACTGAAATGTGGGTGGGTGACAAACGGCTGCTTCCCTTGCCATGGCCAGCTCTCCAGATGGAAGAGGGCACTGTCCCCTCAGCCTGCCCCACAGGGGCCCGGGGCCACGAGGGTCGGAAAGGGTGGATGGGACGCCAGCCTCCACGGCTGAAGACCTGAGCCTGGGTTGTTTATGCCGCAACCTAAGCAGCCCTGCCTGTCACTTCCCAAATGCTGCTTCAGGACGCTGGTCCCCATTGTCCCCTGGGGCGACATGTGCTCTGGCTGAGGCACATCGTGGCACCAGCTGCCAGGCCCTTGTCTCCTTCATTTGCCTGAAAATCCTCTCCAGTCCCCTGCTGTGTGACCTGCAGACTCTCCTGCTTGTTGGGACCCTGCCATTTGGCAAAGGGCGGCACGGGGGCTGCAGTGGGGTGGGGTCTCACCACTGCCGGGACACGAGGAGAACCCCAGCCAGCCAGCCCGGTTGGTGCCCCGGCTATATGTGGCCAGCCCCAGACCCAGCCGGGCGCCCACCAGCATCTGAACAAAGCAGGACAGGGCTGTGGGTCACCCCAGCAGAGGGTGATCACAGGTCAGGACGGACCTAATCACAGGCCCACTGCAGCTCTGAAGGGGTCGGGGTTCGGCAGGGAGCTTCAGCAGGTCCCCCAGCCCTGAGGGTGTCCTGGCCAGGTGAAGGTTGGGGTCCACCGGAGAAGCTTCAGACCCGCTCCCTCGGGGGCATTGCAGGGTGGGGAGGGGGTACTCGGCCAGGGGCCTGTGCAGGTAGAGAAGCCGCGTCGGGTCCTGCCCTTTGCTCCCATGCAGGGCCCTCCACCTGTGAGATTTCAGAGCTTCCTGGGTGTCTATGGCAAGGACAGACAGCCAGCAACTCACTCCAGCCCAGGACCCGTGGCCGGCAGAGCAGTCTGAGTGTCTCAGGGCCTGATCCTGGTGGTGGCCTTGGGGACTGACTGGTCATCGAGAAGCCGGCTCCTCTGAGGCCCTTTACAGACCAGCAGAACCCTCTCTGTCCCCACTGTGGTCGGCGCTGGTCTCTGCCAAGCTGCGGTGTGGCACACGGGGTCCAGCACAGGGAGCATCCCAGGGCCACACCGATGCCTGCCCACCCACCCTGGACAGGGCCTTCCGTGGGCCCCACTGGCACACTGCCAGGGCCAAGAGCTCCTGCCAGCCAGGGGACTCTCCCTGCCGTACAGCTCCCACAATGAGAAACTTGTCCCTTCACGGAGCTGGAACGGGCCCTGGGCCACCCACGCTCCCCTCCTGTCCTCAGAAACAGCACAGACAGGGAAAGGTGGGGGCTGGGGCGTGAGCCTGCGGTCAGGTGGCAGACAGGCCTGCACCCCAGCCCCGCCGGTCCCCGTAATCATTTTTCAATCTGGTGTTCCCCTTAAAATACAGAGTTAAACTAAATAAGATTAAGACAATTTTACTCAAACATGGGGGGAAATGCCTTCGCCGGCAGCATCGGCCTTGTCATCTCTCTGCACTAAAAAAATAAACTATTTAGAATAGATGTTACAGAGATCCGTGCTCACGGGTAGGAAGAACTAATATTGTTGTGACGGCCACACCACCCAAAGCAACCTACAGTTTC